TTTCACTAACCACTACTTTACCAAACCTAGTGTCCTTTTCTAACTTTTCCATGATGCTGTATCCAAGGTAAGGGACCCTAACTCTTGGGAATTTCACTTCTGGCTGTGTTTCTTTTAAGACAGACCAGAAGGTACATTGATGGTTGTCCAAGTAGCGTGAAATTACTGAAACCTTCTGCTTCTTCCTTATCACTAAGGTGGAAGACAGGAAGGTCTGGGCCATTTGGTAGTTACTGTAACAGATAAATGGAAGACTTGCGGTATGTCTGTGTGTGTGTTTTCATATACCGGAGAAAATGGGGCACCAGTTTTAATATTTATTATTCAAACATTTCTGAAAACGTCTCTATCCCTGAATTTATAAGTATGCCTTATGATTATAATCCTTATCAACTAACGTGTCCTATATAGTAGAGTGCTTTGCTTTTTATTTTCGTCTGTCAGTAAGATCAGAAAAGGAGGTAAGGTTAGAAAAGATGTTTCTTCTAACCTTGGTCTCCTTAAATTCATGTAAAAGAATATGTTGAATATTCTCAGAGAAATTAGTGAAATATATGTATCATAAGACTATTCTAAGTGTCTTGGATTCCAGCAGTTTTTCTTTTACAATTAAGAAATCTCCAGGGAAAAACCATACTATATTAAGACCTCTTGTGGTTCCAAGTGGTTTGTTTTGAAGATGACTTGATATTAGGAATTCTCAATATTCTTACCAAAAAGTTAAAGAAGGGGGGAAACCTTGTGAATATAGATTTAAGAATTTGTCATTTTGTTGGTGAATGTGCAATCAGGGGATAGATCTTTGTATTGTTTGGGGTAATGGTATGTGTTGACATGCTCCACTTGAAGTACTGGGTTAGTATCAGTTTCCTCTGGCTGCGAAAACTACACAACGTGTGACTTAAAATCACAACATTTATTCTCTCGTAGTGTGGAGGTTAAAAGTCTGAGATTAAGGTGTAGGCAAGGCTGGGTTCCTTCTGGGAAGCTCTTAAGGAATGTCTGTTCTACACATTCTTGTCTGGAAGCTTCCGGCAGTGGTCAGAAATCCTTGGCATGATTCTTTGTCTTGTAGCTACTTCCATCTCTGCCTCCATCTTTACCTAGTGTTCTTGGTCTTTCTTGTCTTCTCCTATGAAAACTACTCTTACTGGATTTAGAGCCCACCCAATACCAGTATGGTCTCATTTTAGCTTAGTAATTACATCTTTAACTCATAATAACACCTGCAAAGACCATATTTTGAAATAAGATCACATTGTAAACTTTTGGGAGAACATGAATTTTGAGAGCCGTCAACTCCTCCTTCAAATTGTGGTCTGTCAGCGACTCGTCCGAGGACAATGGTGATGCTAACATGAACTGAAGAAAGGGGCCCTGTGGAGAGGGTGGTGTGACTCTATTCTGCAATTGCTGATGGGCTCTGGATGTTTAGCAAAGTGGTGAACAGTATCATTTCTGGCTCCTTTCTGTCATTCTCCACTAGGGCCCACAGGGCTCTGAATGCTAACAGGCAGGAGGCCTTGGAAAAGATCCTGATTGGTTCCTTCTGGTTGTAAGAGCTGGGAGTCTGAAGGGCCCAGGGACTCACGTGACAGAAAAGAAAGGCATCAGAACTGGAGGGAGACATTTCACGGCAGGCTTCAGAAGGTTTCAATTGTCATTAGTTTTTCTTTTCCTGCTGTTCTTAATGTTCTTTTAACATGACGCAACTGTATGCATCTAGATTTGCTATATTTCCTTGCTATAGCTAGTAGAGTCTTTGAATTGTAGTGAAAAGAACATGACATTCAGCGCCAAGTCACAACCTTAGCATTCACTGGCTGTGTGAGTGGGATAGGTCTATTTTCTCTTTGAACTTCCTGGATTGGAGACAGAAATTAAAAGAAAAATTTAGAATTTTGCTTTAAATGCCCTTGATGACCTTTTGAAGAGAATGGAAAAACAATGAGTATTTTTTTAAAACCATTTTATTGGGGGATCATACAACACTTATCACAATCCATACGTACATCCATTGTGTCAAGCACATTTGTACATTTGTTGGCCTCATCATTCTCAAAACATTTGCTTTCTACTTGCTCCCTTGGTATCAGCTCCTTTTTCTCCTCCCTCCCAGTTTCACCCTCCCACATGAACCCTTGATAATTTATAAATTATTCTTATTTGTCACAACTTACACTGTCCAAAGTCTCCCTTCACCCACTTTTCTGTTGTCTGTTTCCCAGGGAGGAGGTTATATGTATATTCTTGTCATCGGTTCCCCCTTTCTACCCCATTTTCCCTCCACCCTCCCAGTATCACCATTCTCACCGCTGGTCCTGAGGGGTTCATCTGTCCTGGATTTCCTATGTTTCTAGTTCCTATCTGTACCAGTGTACATCCTCTGCTCTAGCTGGATTTGTAAGTTAG